AATTAAAGTGAGGGTAGCACTTCCAAGTGGTTTGAGCTTCCGCCAACCTCCAAACTTTTGGGGCATTTACACACGTACCACCCAAATCCTATGTATTTACATATCTAACGCCTAAACTTTACATTTTACACTCCTACCGCCCAAATCATTCCTAACACATAAGAAATACAATCATTTAAACTTTAAACAAGTGAAATACACCTTCTCATGCATAAGTTGGCATATATCATCACAATATCACCACAATAACCTCGAATATTTTGTTATGTTCAGTGGGGCACCACAATATCACCTGAAAACCACCGATCTGCATCTAATCCGCATCCAATATTTTCTCCTGTGAATGAGCCGAGTTTGAGCGAACTCAAATTTAGCTTGTGTTTGGCTCAATTAACATAGTTTTGTTTGTAATTGGTTTGTGCTTGATGGCTTGTTTAATTAATTAGAAAAAACTAGATGTATAGTGATGTATTTGAATTTGCACCAATTTAAGCAGTAGAACCACATGACCACACTAACCGTTAAGATTTAAACTATATATATATAAGCCAAGTACTATTGAACAAAGTTTTATTTGTATTCGGCTCATTTATAATTCGAGTTCAAAACACTTATTCGTGTTCGATTCATTTACTTAACAAACAATTTGAACATGAGTTACTTAACAAACCAAACACGAGCTCTTTTATATATTTATAAAACAAATTGATTAACGCGTTCGACTCTTTTACAGTTTACACCCTTAATTATAGTTGATTAAATAGAAATAGTTAGGCATCAGATATCACAATAAAGAAGGCATATGCGTCACATAATACAAATTCATAAACGTGTGGTGATGAATCTTGAAGCTGTCTCACTCTCTGTATGTCTATGTCTATATCATGTGCTTGAAAACTAAGTTTTAAGTGAGCTGAATCCTTCCTTTATATGCCTCTCCATATCTTGCTCGTCTATTTCATGGAAGATTCCGCAGCTTGTTTTCCTCCATTTTGTTGGTAGGAGGTGTTCTGTTGTGCTGTAAAGGAAACAGATGAGCGGCTGAGGAGAAGACTTGCAGAAGATTTGTTTTTCAGTTCGTCTTTTTGATGACTTGTACTTCAACTAATAACTCTCTCTTTTGATTGATTAATTTAGTTTGGTAGCTAGAGTTATCACAAATTCTACATCTTACATTCTTTTTCTGACTTGTATAATTCTAGGGAGATATGTTGAATCTTGCTTTGTCCGTAAGCACGCCCCAAGAGTTAGAGCTTAAAAAGCGGAGGGATATAAAGAGACAGAGATAGAATGAACAGTGAAACATCTTGTTTAACCTTCCCTTTTGTCATAAAATGATCTCTTTGTAGAGGGTAAAGTATGTGATGCTGTAGGATGCTTTAGGTATTTTACATACAAAGGGTTTGTTGTTCGGCTGCCTTATGATTGGGTCGATTGGGTTTGTTGGGTATTGGCTCGTCAGCTGTGTTGAGTTTGTCGGTCAGTTGTGGGTCGGCAAGACAGACTTGATCGGCTGAACTTCTGTCGGTAGGCTGATCCTATCCAGCTTTTGACTCATAATCCCTAACAAGGGACTATTGTTAATTCAACGATGCTAGGCTATCGTGTAGAGAGTAAATCATTATAAATTGATTTTAGCACGCTTCTCAATAAGATGAACCTAAGGGTGATTGTGAGGCTCTCATGCTTTGCAAATTCTCGGTTCTTCATGAGGAAATAGATTCTTACCCCAGGTTTGATTTGTCAATCCAAGCCTGATCGGCCCGAACTTGGATCGTTCTTTCTTTCTTTCTCCTAGCTCCGTTGGTTTGGATGGGTCCATCAAATCAGATAAAATGGGGCCTCTTGGTCTCCTATCGATGGACCTTCCCCTGTTATCATTTTTTTCTTTTGAAATGTTGGATCTCCTCGAGATTCGTGCCGCCAAATTTGTGCCGTACAAAATTATTATGATTCACGTAAGCTTTCAAAGAGTTTCCGAATTATTTTATTCCAGTGATTGGTTTGATAACTATACTTGATGCATTTGAAACTCCAAATCATGAGGAAGATATAATTAGCTCATTAAGTGTAAAGAAACAAAGTGAGTACATGTAAAGTCAATGCAGGCAAAAGAATTGAACCCCTAATTATTAAGAAAGACTTACAAACATACCACTCACTTCTCACATATTTACATATCTAATTTCTTAAATTTTAATTTTTACAAACATACCGCTTTACCTATGCTTTAAAAGGTGTTGAATGATGGCATTTTCTTATGTACTATGAAAGATTTGGATGGTATGAATGAGAAGCAACGATTTAAGTGTCGGATATATAAATACATAAAAATTGGGTGGTATGTATGTAAATGCAACAATTATTAAACTCACGGCGTCAAAATTAAGAATGGTTGGTCATCTTCTTAAAGTATATAACTAATCTAATATAAATTTAATAAAATACATAAAATAAATTTATATTTAAAAAGCATATATAATTTTTTGGCTCGATTTTTATAATTTTATGCTTCTAATATTATTTTTTTTTTTTTTTTTTTTTGGGTTTTTTCAATTAAAGCTGGTTATTCAAGTAAAGCTAAGGAAATAAAGAAAAGAGAGAGAGCAGATAATGAGGACATTAAATTAAAGCAAGAGTTGCACATTCAGTGGTCTGAGCTTCGCCGGCCTCCCAATACTTTAAAATTTTTTTTCTTTTTAATTAAATTAATTAATTATAATTTTTCATTAGTGATAACGGCTTCATAAGATAATTCTATTTGTTCCTTTCATTATGACTTTCATTATGACTAACAACCATTTTAATCCCTTTCATATATATATATATATATATATATATGTGTGTGTGTGTTGAATTCTTCTGGTTCATGAGTATATATAACATGACAAAAGACCTTGTACATAGAAAGAGTGCTAGATAGGAAGAGAGAAATGAATGCGATTCTTTTGAAAGAGTCTTAAAAAATATATTGATTTCGGATCTCTGTTAAACCAAAGAGAGGTGGCTCTCTGAGTTGCAGGATTTCTAAGAGGGTGAGAAAGAGAGAGAGAATTTATAAAATAAAGACATCTTGATGGAAAGATCATGACTTGTCGGGTATTGTGAGTACAATAGTCGTCTATAGTACTAAGGTAAAAGTGTCGAGTCCTAGGAATCGGAAAATTTATTTAATGTGGGACGACATATGCTCCTATTTCAAAGTGTCGGACAACATCTTTAACTGATGACTGACATACATCTCCATCGGTCAAAATGGTTTTTCTCAATAATCATCCTTACATAGATAAGTTAGGTAGATCCTTTGAGGGAGATGAGAATCGATCAGATAGACAGGATAGCTCGATTTAACCACTTCAGCATGTGGAGATTGATTAAGCCACTTAAGTAGATGAGCTCAATTCAACCACTTCGATAGGTGAGCTCGATTCAAACATTTCGGCTTATCATATATACCAAAATTTGTTTCTTAGTTGATATTTTAATTAAGAAAAGATGATTCTGACAAAAAAATTTCAGTCATCTTTATTAAAGTTATATTATTTTAGAATGGCAAACTTTCTAATTACCCAAAGGGTAAAGTTGTAACACAAAAGTTTAGGCTAATAAAGAATGTGTCACGTATAAAAAAACAAAATCAGAAACCTTTTATTGCAGAAATTAAAAAAAAATCATTTTTTTTTTCTTTTATACATTTATTACGTGTCTGCACCAAACAAATAAATAAAGAAATTGTTAGCTTTGATTGAGCTGAATCATCCCTTTATATGCTGCATATGTTGTTTGTCTTCTTCTTCTTCTTCAGTTCATCTTTTTTATGACACCAACTTCGACTCATAGTTCTCTCCATATAAAAATTCTTAAGAATTTGCATAAATACCACTCAATTCTTATGAATTTACATATCTAACATCTACTTTTTACTTTTTATATTTATGTCACCAAGATGTTTTATACCACAACGAAAATATCACAATATAAACTTTTAAAAAAGTGAACACACCTTCTTGATGCATAGCTAAGGCGGTAAGTATGTAAAAAAATGAACTTCTTAAGGGTGATATGTAAATACATAGGAATTGAGTGGCCTAAATGTAAATCTCCCAATAATTAATTAGTTAAGTGATGCTTTTATTTATCAGAAATTTCAATGCTTACTTTTTCGGTCTAACACCTAAACTTTGATTTTTACACATAAAACCACATTTGCATCTGTCTGAAAAGGTGGAAATGTCACATCCATCTTTTCATACATACGTTAAGGCGCTAAGTGTGTAAAGATCAAAGTTTAGGTGTGATATAAGTAAATGCTTTAGAATTGCATGCTATATGTAAATTTCCCAAAATAATAATGTATAACCGAAAACCCCTTAGTCGGAGTCGTGTAAAGCTACATGATTGATCGTATTAGTTAGATAACTGGGCTAGATCAATTTGATTATGTAATTCGATCAGAGAACCAGACTGATTTACTTGCCTATGATCATCAATGCATAACTGAGATAGCTCGACTCTCCCAAGAGATTAATTAACTCAACTAGAAGGGTCAACTCGCCTTACGATCGAGTTGGATCTAACAAGCAAAATCTGCTTTAATTCTATACAGTTAATTTTAAAATTGTGAGGGTTTAAAACCCCTTTATCTACAAGAAGAAATCTATTCAAGTAAAAAGGAATATTTATATTCATGCCACACAATTCTTATCTATTTATATATCTAACACTTAAAATTTGATATTTATATCCATCATTTTTTCGTGTCGAAATCCATGCACGAAAAGTTCTCTTTTAATGAATTAATAGTAATGATATTTTTGATGTGATATTATAAATTCGAGTGTTAAGCATGTCAAATAAAAATGTTAGATATATAAATACATGATAATTGTGGGATAAACATGTAAATGCTCTAACAAAATATCCTCCAAATCAATCATCATCCTCTTTGGTTTCGTTAGTGATGATCAAACAAAACTCGTACACATAATTCTGATTGCATAATTTACCCAAAACCCCACAGATATTCTGAACTTTGCCTTTACATCCATGAAGAAACAAGGACGGTTTACATACACACCACACAATTCCTATCTATTTACGTGTCTAATATAGGCGTCGCCTTATTACATATCAAAAACATACCCCTCACTTTTATGTAATTAAATATCTAAACTTCAATTCTTACATACATGTCACCTTACTTTTGCATGAAAAGCACAAAATATGGTAGATTTTAGATGCATAAATACATAAGAAGTGGGTGACATGTAAATAAATACTGCCCCGGAGCAACCCATCAATCCCATCAATGAAATGTAAAACTGATTCAAATAGAAAGAGATTCGACTTTTGCAGTGCCGTCAGCGCCGCAAAAGCTTTGACTTTCGCTCCGAAATAAAAGGAGAAGATCAATTCAATTTCTATTCCTGACAAAAAAAAAAAAAAAAATCATCTTTTCAAAACAGTCAAAAAAAATTAAGCAGTTGACTCTCCATCCTGAACTCAACTGCTACCAAATTTCAGGAGACAATTCAGAGGCCATCCTCGTCACTGCTTTCTCCAAACATGGCCGCCATTTTCAAGGCCAGCTTCGCCGCCATTTCGCGCCTTTGGAAATCAGGCATCAGTCTCAGGTTGCCTCGAATATTGCCAATTTCGCCCATCAACCTTTCGAGATCGTCGTAACCAAACTGTAAATCTTCGTCTGAATTAGATGACTGCCCTTGTTGTGTGTTTTGTTCGAGTTTTTGATCAACAAAAAGGACTTTATCAGCATCGTGTTCTCTTTCAGTTGCTACTTCAGATTCGGTATCGACAGCGGCTCGATCCACATTTTCGTTCCTATGGATTTGGTTGTTAGGGCCTAGAATGCCGTCTTCTTCACCTGATTCTGAATCAATTTTGTCTGTCTTAAGCATGCTTGACGAAGCACCTGGATCATATGTGCTATCCCAAGGTTCGCCGGCACCTCCGGATAAGACTTCATATTCAAACTCATAATCGGATTCATCTTCTGTAAAATCTACAAAAGAATAAGGAATGAATAGCATAAATTTTTAATTGTATGAGTTGGAATCAGCATAAAGTTACAGTTGTGTGTGTGAAATTGTAGGTCTTGTACACAACAGCAAGAACAGTAACAACAAGCCTTTATCCCAGGAAGTATGACCCATCAACTTAATTCCTCTATAATTTGCACTCTTGTGCATCCCATTTTTTCTTAAAAATGGAGACCAAAATAATCTTCCTCCACTCCTCAAGGAATCTTTCTAGTTTTTAAAATAATATTAAAGAGTTTAGTAAGCCAAGAAACTCTCAAATCTCCTAAATATTTCCACACTTCAATTGAGATATCATCAGATCCTACAAACTTTCCACCCCTTGATTTTCTTTAAATTTTCTTTAAAGCCTCCTCAACTTTTTTTACTGATGCGACGGTAAAAATAAAATATTTTATTATTATTAATATTAAAATCAGTAAAGTCGATTGTATTTTCAAAAATTTTATTGAAAAATTTATCAAATAACTCATCCAACTATGTTAGATATCTTTTATTAAGAAAATCACATTTTGATTTTCATTTTGTATTAAATCTTTACTTTGCTTTTCTCTTTATTTAGCTAGTTTATACATATATTTTTTTATCTTTTTTAGTATCTAATATACTATAAAGATCACTAAAAGCTGAATTTTAAGCATCAAATATGAAAGTTTAGGTGTGAGATATGTAAATACATAAAGAATTGTGTGCAATTTATATAAATGCCACAATAATTTAATGCATTTAGTACTCAACAGAGAGTAATAGAGAACTGCCAATTTTTCATAAAGAGTAGTGATAAATGACAAAACGAGTACTCCCATTTCACACTACACTAAGATAAATTTATGTATGCCCAAATTGCACAATTAAAATATCAAATATAAAAATATAAAAAATTAATAAACAAGAACCAAAGAGGGAAGTGAAAAAAGCTACGAACCAGACTAGAACTAGAACTTTGCTCACTAATTTGACTCGTTTACACCAGTATAAGTTGCTTAAGGCAAATGGATTTGAGTGCTGTAAGAAAAAAAGTTACTAAAAATGAAAGTTAAGAACTTACAATATTTAGATGGGTAAAAAAATCAAAGAATAAATATATAGATGATTAGCATATGTTTAAAGATAAGCAACTGAAAAATAAGCAAAGGTGGATTGATCCAAAAAATAAATTAGGGGCATTTACATGCATTGCATACAGTTCTTATGTAACTTTCATACTTACACACATAGCATTCAAAACTGTAATATCACATCAAAAATAGCATTAATATCACTTTCCAAAAGTGAAATTCACATTTTCATGCCTAGGTTTAAAATGCTATTTATATAAATATAAAAGTTTTGGTGTGAGATATATAAATACATAAGAATTATTCGCTATGTATGTAAATTTCCCAATAAATTAATGTGAAAATAGTAGGAAGAAAAATGTGAAGACATGTCACCGGTGGTTAAATTATGGAAAAATAATTGTACAAAATGGTTAAAAAATTGGGAGCATCCAAATATGAAAAAATGGAGAATGGGATAAATAAAACAAACACCGAGTCATCTAGTGATGATCAAGATCACAATATAAATCAATTACATATCATGTATGATAACACTGTCATTATTAATTAAATATCTAGCTTGACCATCTAGCAGTTCCTTTAAAGCCAAAGAAAAACTGTTGTACAACCATTTTCTTGTGCAGTAGCTCGTGATATGTAGGAATGATTTTGCAACCACAGGCATACATATGTTACTCCTTTGCTTTCTAAAGCTCTCCCCAAAATAATTAGGGGCATTTACATACATACCACCCAATCCCCATGATTTTACATATCTAACATCTAAATTTTACTTTATACATTTATAGCACCTAACACTGCCATTGTCGGGTCCCAATCTCATATACGAAAAGTGAAAGACTAAGTTAGATAGTCGACAACTAGTGTAAAAATTTTGTCGAAAAATCATGAAATGAATCCTTTAAATCTTTGTGTAGATGTTACGGTATCTCCTGAAAGCGACACACTGCATGACCTAAATACAGTGAAAAGTGTGCAAGGCCGCTACACTGGTGCCCAGGTTTAGTATCAATTAAGTAAGAGTTCCCAAATTACGAACGAATGCGAACAAAGAAGTTAGTCCATGAAATAAATAATAGAATAGAATCTTGAAATATAGATACTCTCATAGGTAAATTAATGAAATTAGTAGATATTATGGTTCATAGGAAGATAAAAAACTTATATATTTGAGAAACTAAATTGTTGGAGAAAAGACAAAGAAGATTGACACTATATACCGATGTTCGGGTATAGTGTCAATTAAACAAGAGTTCTCACATTACGAACAGATGCAAACAAAGAAGTTACTCCATGAAATTAATATTAGAATATAATCTTGAAATATAGATACGCTTATAGGTAAATTAATGAAATTACTAGATATTATGATTCATAGAAAGATAAAATCTCATGTATTTGAGAAACTAAATGGTTGGAGAAAAAACTAAGGAGAATGATAGCTTAGTTTTTGAAATTTGATATTCAGGCAGGAGTCGCACTAGAAATGGTGTAGGTGTATTTATAGATAAGAGTTTGAAATATATAAAAATTAATAGAACTTGAGATAAAATTATGCCTAAAGATTGTTGTTGATACTAAAATTTTTAATGTTATAAGTGTTTATGCTCCTCAAGTGGGTTTAGATATATGTTAAAAAGAATGATTTTGGAATGACCTAGAAGAACTAATACAAATGATACCTCTTGAAAAAAAAAATTTATTATAAGAGATTTAAATGAACATGTTGGTAGAGTGACAAAAGGTTTTAGAAATATTTAAGGTAGCTATCATTTTGGAGTGATTAATGAATAAGCTTGAATCATATTAAATTTTTTTTTTGCGCATTATTTTGTTGCTAATATTTTATTTTAAAAAAAAAGATGAATGAATTTAATAAAAAAATACATTGATTATATTCTTTTGAAAAAAATAATCATCAAGAATGCAAAGATGGTAAGATCATTGTTAGAGAAAACTACTGCGAAAAAGTCTCCTTTTAATTTTTGTGGAACAAGATTATAGGATTCGATAAAACAAAAACAAAAATTTAAAACCATAAGCACAATCAAAGCAACCAGAAAAGCACACAAGGATTTTACGTAAAAAAACACGAGAATAAGAAAAAACTACAGAGCCAAGCTAACAGAAAATCCAATATAAAATTCAGAAAATTTTATAAATGACTCACACAAGTTTCTTCTCCACACTCACACAAAAAAACTTACAGAGCTTGCACTAACAATGTTCCCTCTCCGATCTGATAAAAAAATTACGTTAAATCACTGAAATCCACCTCCTCGGCACTCCTCACTTTCACTGGGATGCTCGTCAAAGAATTAAGAAAGAAGAAAACAACAAACTCATCGATCCACACTCAAAAATTGGCTTAAAAACCATTTTTCGTGTAGTAACCACACTGAGCGCTTAGGTGCCCAAACTTCGTGCCTAAGCGCCAAGCACTCTGTATCCGCGCCCCATAATGAGCGTTTAGGAGCCAATAGAACGGCGCCTGTCACTCTAGATAAGAGCAGCATCTGCTTTATAGATGGCACATATGCGCCTAAAGCCGACGCTTAGGCGCCGGCTCTTCTGTTTGAGTAGCACCCAAGTGGGCACTTAAGCTCCCACAACCCGACGAATATGTGGCGGTTGCCTTATGTTTAGGCTCCACGGCCCAACAATCTCCCACTTAGAGACTATAGCACCCAACACTAGTCCTTTGTACCTGCATCTCCTTTTGAATCGCTTTCATAGTCACGTACCATGGTGTGGCTCAACCCCAGTCTCAACCTTCATGAAACTCAACTGAAGTCAAGCACAGCTTCATTTTCTTAACAGTAACCACCTTCGTCAACATATTCGCAAGATTCTCAGCTATGCGTATATTTTTCAAAAATAATTGCTCATATTCCAAAAGAGATCAAATGAAATGATACATGAGCTGGTTGTGTTTCGTCTTAGCATGAAAAACAACGTTCTTAGCAAGATGAATCACACTCATACTGCCACTGTAGAATTTTTTAATTCCTTGCTCCTTGCCTAATTCTGCCATGAAATTTTGTAGTCAAACGATCTCCTTATTAACATCAGTGATAAATATTGGGCCTCTTTATTTGAAAGTGCAACAATCTTCTGCAACCTAAAAACCCAACTCAATGTTGTGTTCCCCGATGTGAAGATATATCCCATTTTACTTCTCCTACTGTCCACATCTCCTACCAGATCTGAATCTACAAAACCATGTAGACTGATCTCTGCACATTCATAGAAAAGTGTTTTGTTGATTGTTTCTCTCAAATACTTAAAAATTCACTTTACCGCCTCCTAATGATGCTTGCCTAGATTGCCCATGTACCTGCTGACCACTCACACTGCATATACAATATCCGGTATGGTACAAATCATCGCATACATCAAACTTCCAATTTATGAAGCAAACGGAGTTCTCTCTATCTGTGCTTGCTCTATTTCAGAGTTAGGTGATAGCTCCTTAGATAGTTTGAAATGACTACCTAAGGGAGTGCTAATTGGTTTCGTCTCACTCATGTTGAACCTTTGTAAAAACTTCTCAATATACTCTGCCTGAGACAACTTCAATGTTTCGGTGCTCCTGCCCCTACTGATTCTCATCTTGAGAATCTTTTTGGTTGGGCCTAAATCCTTCATCTCAAACTAACTTGACCACTATTTTTTTTCAAGTCTCTGACTTTCTTCATTTTTGCCCCTGAAATCAGTATATCATCCACATACAATAGAAGCAAAATATAACAATTACTAAAGTGTTTGACGAAGCAAAATGATCTGTCTGGAATTTCAAATAATCGTCTGACATGAACCTGTCAAACCTCTTGTACCACTATTAAGTCTGTCAAAACAGCTCATTGCTCGTGAACAGCTCGTGTTCGGCTCGTTCACTAACG